AAATAGCGTATAGTGTGTCGAAACTGGAGCACTCTCTCAGTGCCACTGAGTGAGTCAAAGAAGACATGGCTAGTCTAGAAACTCACCGAGGACTTGGGAGAATCGTAGGGGTGAGGGAGTGTCGATTCGCCGGGTGATTGAGCGGCACGGCGGGGGCTAGCTTCCATACTAGGCAAGAGGTGGAAAAGTGACTTACGAGCAAAGTAGATTGATATACGGTATAGATTATCATCATCGTTATCTATATAGCATTGTTACAATATAGTTATATTTACAGTGATATAATTCACTGCATTCTGCTGAGGCTCAGCAGCTGAGCTGTAATGCAGACTTATTGCATGGAGGCCCAAACGGCAACCACGTTGTTCGACATAGTGCAAGTATGCTCAGGATTCTTCCAGGTTATTGCTACTGACACGGAAGTTGTGAAAAGAGAAAAGCGGTCAAATCGTGGTCATCAGGAGACATGCTGGTCGGAATTTCCCTGCATGCTAGCTGTCCACATAGTGAGGTTGTCGCGAAGAAGCTGCATGATCGTAGCGGATCCCTGGTATCTAAGGCCGCATATTAGTCGACACACTTCAGAATCGCAGCTTGCTCGTTATCATCCAGATTGTCCATAGCCGCTATAGCGTCATCGAAGGCCGCTTTGGCCAGTAGACAAGCACGCTCTGGAGAGTTCAAAACCTGGCCAACGATGGATACCCATCGGAGGAAGCTCTGAGGCTACGGACCTCATAGTAGAAGACGCTGAAATTGAGAGCTAGGCCGAGCCGGATGGGGTTGGTAGGAGGAAGGTCATTCAATGCAATGTCTGAGGCCATCCTGAGGACCAGGGTTCTAATAGGCTGACTAGTCGCGGTAGACCTGTAGCTTTCATGGGCGTCCTCGGCCAGCTGGGTGTTGGGTTCGAACTCTGTGAGGTACCTACTAACGGCGCGTCAATTTCGACAATAAGCTTTCACGCCTACCGGCGATAGTCGCCTTGAAGCTTGTAGAAGAAGACCTTCGATTCGAATGTCGTCGCATGCGGCAAGATTTCTAAACACAGATTGGTCAAAAGGAATGGTTTGTGGAAAACACCTTTCGAAAGGATGTCCAATATCCTGTTGCATAGGATTCTGATCTCCTCCTCAATGACCGCACGATACCCTTTGATCGACTTCCTCCCAGCCTCCCCTGGATGTGTTGATACCCGCCAATCACTGTTGGGTTACGCTTCACCTCGCTCCCTGTGTTCGAGCATGGTAAGAGCTCGCCATGCCTGTCTCCTTGCCCCTAGCACCCATCATGGTAGCAGAGAGGCATGAACGAGCAGACCGTACCGACAGCATTCTTGAAAGCTGTGCTGAAGAGTGTACGCTCCTCCACACTAAGCTCGAAACCCATCTCAGCGATCAATGCCATATGATGAACCATGTCGTCGTATCTGACACTAGTAAGAGGCCTTGATGTAGGCTGAGTGAGGGGCACGTGCCTATCCGAAGCTTCGCTAAGCCTTGCCATAAAAAGATTGTTCTCTCTATGCAATCCCACATCGAAAGTGTTCCCTTTTACTGAAGGCTGTACGCCCGTCGAGATCGGTTCGCTCGGGTCTGGTTCGGCCGACATATTCTGTGCGGATGAGGATAAAATCCTAGGTTGAGCTCGAGTCCGGCAGTCTTGCGCGATTTGTTCATGGTGCACTTCCCCATTGACTTGTCACAGCGAGTATTCCTGACTAACGCATAATGTTCGTCGTTCGAGTATCTTGTCGTATGTAGAGCAGTCGCATCGGACATGTGTATCCGAACACAACTCCACAGAGCCAAGATAGGAACCTACTTCGAAAGAAAACACCGCCGTCCCGCGATGAGAGAGATCGACACCACGCCTGTGCGATTTAGAAAGGCCGTCTTGAGTCTCTGCATATCAAAGGACAACATAGCAGTGATCACGCCTTTGCGATTCAGAAAGGCCGTCTTGAGTCTCTGCATATCAAAGGACAACATAGCAGTGATCACGCCTTTGCGATTCAGAAAGGCCGTCTTGAGTCTCTGCATATCAAAAGACAACATAGCAGTGATCACGCCTTTGCGATTCAGAAAGGCCGTCTTGAGTCTCTGCATATCAAAGGACAACATAGCAGTGATCACGCCTTTGCGATTCAGAAAGGCCGTCTTGAGTCTCTGCATATCAAAGGACGATATAGCAGTGATCACACCTAGCGATTCAGAAAGGCCGTCTTGGATCTATGCATCTCAAAGGACAATATAGCAGTGATCACGCCTTTGCGATTCAGAAAGGCCGTCTTGGGCCTCTGCACCTCAAAGGACAACATAACAGTGATCACGCCTTTGCGATTCAGAAAGGCCGTCTTGGGTCTCTGCACCTCAAAG